AGAAGCAAAAATCAGAATGAAAAATCCCCACTTATAAGAATTTGAATCACCTGAATCAATTTCAAGCATCTCACCACCACATGTTCATAATCTTCCACCGCCAAACAACCTCTAGGACAACAATTATCTTCGTTTAATTTTTTATATACCAGGAATTGAAATGTAGGAATAGCATTATGAAATATCCATCACCAAAAAGTCTCTACACATGGATTCAATTTTACCTTTTTAATCCAATTCGAATAATGATTCTCAGTCGGATCACTCATCGAGGCCTCAAATGCTAATGCACAATAGTTATACCTGAGATTTGATGAATAAGTTCCACTTGATCTTTAGCCAACTTAGGAAATATATGAATATTAAAAATTAGCAAAACCAATTTCTCACTAATGTAATTCTGAAGTTCATCCTTATTACAATCTCCGTTCAATATGAACTTGTCCACTGTCATGTCAAAGCTCCCTTGAGTAGAAACAAATGTTGGCCATCTATTAAGGCACTTATTCAACGCCCAAACATTATTGAATACGTTAATTGAATGACCATCCGCAATCTTCCAGCTGACAATGGGTACAAGAGCTTTAGCACCATCTGAAACAATCTTCCATGAAGCAGACGAACCCTTCCTCAAACCAGAATTCGAATTCCAAGATCCATATCTAGCTTCCAAAATCTTGTACAAAAATGAGTCCATTCCATTAAGAAGATTACAGGCCAATTTTGCTCTTAAAGGAACCACTCTGCAAACACAAGAATGAAGTCCACATCCACCCATTTTAATCGGCTTAAACAAGACGTCCCATCTCACATAATGAAGGCCATTCTTCCCATCCTACTTATGCTACATAAAATTCTTGCACATCTTGTCAATTTCAAAAAGAGTTCCCTTAGGAATAAAAGAGTGAGTACATTGCAAAATTGGAAGTGTAATATGACTGATTTAAGAAGAATAAATTTCCCTGCTAAGGATATAAATTTATTCCTCCAAGCATTAAGTTTCCCCAAAGACTTCTCTACAATATAATGAAAATCAGCACCCATGAGTCTCCACAAAGCAATCTTCACCCCCAAATAATTCATCTCTTTAACAGGTCTAAGACCCATCAACCGATATATAACTCTTCTCTTCCTTTTTTTCACAATTTTTCCATAAGGAACAAAATATTTCTGTAATTTATACTTTGGCCAGACTAGCTACAAAAGTCCAACAAAATATTCCTAACCTCCTTCACCATCTTTATGCTAGCATAAAAAAATAACCATATCATATGCATATACCCAAATGTGATATTCTTATAGTATTTGGATGAACTTTGATGCCGATCTTATCACCTTTTTTAATCAAAGTATTTGATAACAATTGAGAGCATAAAATAAATAAGAACAGAGATAAGGGACAACCTTGTCAAAACCGGCTCCTAGCCTTGATCCATTTGGAATAATTCCCATTAATCAAAACTGAAAATCTGGGATCCTCCACACATTCCATAATAAGCCTTGAAATTTTCAAGGGAAAGCCAAAGTAATTTAGCACTTGCTCCAGAGTGGACTACCCCATACTGTCATAGGCTTGCTCCATATCGATTTTAAAAGAAACCAAACCTTCGTTGATTTAAAAAATCTTAATTTATGAAAAACTTCTTAAGCTATCAACACATGCTCCAATATAGAATGTCCATTCAGAAAAGCTGCTTGCTATTCGGAAATGAGTTTTGGAATCATGTCGTACATTCTATTCAGAAGAATTTTAGCCACTACTGTATATATTGTCTTACAAAAGCTTATTGGTCTGAAGTTAGCAGGGACCAAAGGATTATCCACCTTTGGAATGAGCACAACTAAAGTCTCCTTACGATCCTCATCCATAATGCTAGTTGAAAAAAATTGATAGACCGCATTCCAACATCATCCTTAATAATAGCCCAATAAGTTTTAATGAAATAATAAGAAATCCCATCATTACCTGGGGATTTATAGCCACCACGTTGATTCACCACTCCCATAACTTCTTCCAAAGAAAGGTCTGCCTCCAACATGCTTCTATCATCTTCACCCAGCACACTCAAAGGGGAAGGCCAACCATCCAACATACAATCCCAATCATGCCATTTATTATTGAAAAAAATTAAAAAAATCTCTTCCATTTGAATTTGGTCTTCAACTACCAACCCATTATCATCTTTAATCTTATAAACCCAGTTTGAATTTCTTCTGGCACTTGCAAAAGAATGAAAAATTTTGAATTAGTATGCCCATCCGTCAACCAATTAACCTTAGCATGTTGCCTCCACCATGTGTTTAACTGAGTTAGGGTACTATTGAGTACATTCACCTTTGATCTAAGAACCACAATCTTATCAGTCAAGAGCCCACATCATTAACTTCCTCCATTTGCAAGTCCATAATCTCCTTTTTAAGACAATCCTTCAAAGTATTAAGATCTTTAAGCTTAGCTTTACTCCAATAGAATGAAGCTTTCAAAGACCTTTTAAACTTGATGTTAAGAATTTCAGAATAACTCCCAATAGCTCTTCTAGCCCAAGCCTTAAAAACAATAGTTGTCAAAGCATGGTATGAGGCCCAAATGTCTTCAAATGTTATAAAGCTCTTGACCTTAGGATTTTATTCAATAGATTAATAGGGCAATGATTCGAAGCAAGCCTTGCAAGATGACGCACCATCAAATGAGAAGATTCAACCACATATGAGTTTAAAAAACATTTGTACAATCTCTCCAATATTCGAGCACCACCAACCTTGTTGTTGCACCAAGTGAATCTAGGCCCAATAAGCCAACTTCATGATAATCATTATTTGTTAAAAAAGCCTCATCTTCTTGGTCGTTGGGAAAATATAAATCCCCACCCCCCTCTTTTATCACCTTTGGCTAATAAATAGTTAAAATCCCCACTCATCACTGAAGGAATAATTCAATTTTTTTCCAAAGCTCCCTTCTTTTATATACATCTTTGATCCCATAAATGTTGGAAATCTTCCAAACTCCTTTATTAAGGATTTTAAGATCATCAATAACACATTGAAAGGAAGATTCCAAGATAGAAAAGGATGCCAAATTAGACTTCCAAAGCACCAGAACACCTCTTGACAACCCATCAGAAGGAAAGTAAAAAATATCCCATTCCACTCCTATAAGCAAATTAACTTCCTTCCTATCAATGGAAGTTAATTTAGTCTCAACAACCCAACAAAAAAAAAACATCATACTCCCTCACCAATTCCTTAAAATACATAGAAGCTTGACTCTTCCTAGCTCCTCTACAATTCTAAAAGGTAATAGTCGTTATTAAAAATTTGAAGGGGAAGCATCCCCTAATTTATCTTTATTACACACATCAATTTTCCTACTTCTAGGAATCAACTTAATAGGACCTAATCCTTTAAGTCCTTCAGCAAGCTTCCTTTAAACAGAAGATGAATCCCCATCACAAAAACCTCTCCCATCAGATCTCAAACCGCTATTGTCATCCACAACAACCTTAGGAGAACTCACATCTCCCAATCCATCACCATCAAAAATACCAACCACAGCACCCTCCTCTTTACGAATCACTTGACCTGAACCTACATTCTCACCAATACCAAAAAGCACATCAAACTTATTAACATTATGAATAAGAGAAGATGAATTCGAACAACAAGCCTTACCCACCTCCAAACCCGCATCAATAATAGTATATGAGTACACCAGATTTTGTCTTACATCGCCTTCAATAACCAGAACTTTCATTGGAATCGATGCTGTAACCACACCACCACTACTTCGATCAGATGTGTCCACCTCCCTAAAACCAGCATCCAAAACACCTTTCCTTCCTACAGTTCCAGGCAAATCATTTCCACCCTAATAGACCCCAAAAGACCTGGCACTATTTAGAACCCCCTTTGGCCAACTAGAATTCTTAAATTTTCCCTTACCATAGTTGACATGGATCCATTGTCCATACACTAATCCTTGCTTTACAACACCGCCAGTAGCATAACCTCCACCAAATTCTAGATTAGTACTAACGACAGGAATTTCCTTATCAGCATCACAATGTACTTCCGAATGAATACCACCAACTTGAACCTCTTTCAATCTCAAATGTAGCTACTTTTTAATTTCCCCTTATTCATTTTCCCTTTCCTTCTACTATTCATATTATTTTTACCTTGTTATAACAGGCATTGTCATGCATGAATATCATGAGGCCAAAATTTTCTTCATTAATTAACCTAAAAATAATCAAAATATTTATATTAAATAATTGGTACACTTGTGAATAATTTTGGAGCACTTCTTGCTAGATTAAATAATTTTAATCCTATATTATTACAAGTTAGATAATTATTTTTATTAATGTGGCTACTTTTTAATGTCATAACTTATTTATGGTCAAATTAATTTTGAAAATTCTAGATTTATTAAGCATTCTTTAATGGATTAATCACTCATTAAAAATTCAGGATTTTTTAGTTTTATTTTAAAACTAAACTCCCTCAAAAATAACTTTCCCAAAATGAATTATTAATTTATGTCAATAATAACATGCATAATTTTGCATATATAATTGTATATTCTGAATGATAAATTATTAAAATGACTGAAGTGTATGTATATGATGAAATAATAGTTAACTAAATGATCAACAATTTGGTAGATTTAATGATTAAATCCCTGCAAGAGGGCAAACTAATGAATTTATCCAAAAAAAAAAAATTAAAGAGAATAGGCAGAGAGTTTTCTTTATGGCGTAAACATAAATGAATTATTATACTTGAGTTTGAGTAATGTGTGTCAATAATATAAGATGAATATGATGTCCATGGATACTAGGATGACAATCTTATTCATGATTGACAAGACCCACTATACAACTATGGCTATGATGATGAAATTATATGATGTAAAAGATAGCTAATCAAATTATTATTAAAGCATATGAATGATTTAACCAGAAAATTGAAAAAAATAAGCTTCCAAGTTTAACTTTGTATTGCAGCAAGAATACACCATCGCATTCAAGAGATTTTTCAGTTCAACATATACATCCTTTTGTACATGGTTTGTTCAGAACATGACAAAGCAGTTGGTTCAACAATTGCCTTGCTTTTATCAAGCATTCAAGCTAAGCTGAGATGTATAAATACAATTCAAAAGAAAGCTAAAAGATGGTGTTAAAAGGCAAAAGTGGTGGCTTTGGGTAGGGTAGGCAAGAATTTAAGCTTCATTTTCATTTTGGGTAAGTAAAGAATACAAATCTTCTACTCTTCAAGCCTTTATAACAAGCATGGAAATTTTGACAGGGACCTATAATCTATACGACTAAATATGTTGGCAATTCCCTGAATAATTGTTCAACCTGAGAAACAAATAAAAATGCACCACAAACGAACCCAGAATTTCCAGGTTCTTAATGATTTGTGTGTTGAATGGCTCGCATACCTAGTTGCGATTTTAAGGCTTCGTGTGGGGACGGCTTTCTTACTGCTTCTTAAAGCAGCTTTTTAGTACAAAAATTAAATTTTTTGTACTAGAAAGCTACTTTAAGAAGCAGTAAGAAATCCGTCACAAACGAAGCCTAAGTGGATGCCAACAGGACTAGATATGAATAATGTACTCTAATTTGGGCCAGCTGATTTAAAATTTAACGGTCACACGATTTCTGCAATTCTATTAGAGAGTTCTTCCGTCTGTATGGTTCTATTATTTCCAGAAGTGACAAAGCCTATGGTTGGTAAGGTGGGATCTGTAACAGATTCTATCTCAATAAAGCTCAATTCAAAAGTACCTGACCGCTTCAGACTAAATATGAAGACAAGAATAATCCAACCGAGCATTGTAACTGCCCAATAATTATCCATGCCCTGTATCAAGCCCCATCCAATAGAGTAGCCAACAATAATTCCAGATAAATGACCAATGAAACTGGCCTGTGGAACAATTATGGACGTGAAGATCAACGACTCAAAAGGTGCAAAGCTTATTGGCAAGTACAGAACTCCAAAGAGGTTCAATTTTGTTGAAGGCTGCTTCACAGCAAGGATGGTCATCCACCCAAATACAACACATGAGTAACCAACTGCAGTAACTCTCCTGAAATACTCCAGCTTAAGCTTCTGAATCAGAACATGATATAACACTAAAACCAAAATCCCAGATAGAATCAATAAAACCAAAGTATACTGAAGATAGAACTCTACGCCAAGACCAATATGTCCCAACTGCTCTACCACTCCAAGACTCCAGAGTGCGCTCATGTTGAAAACAAGATGAAGTACACTGACATGTGAGAATGCAGATGTAATAATCCTCCAGTGTTGCCCTTCAATGGCAGCTTCATAACTCAAGCCCACCTGAGAATATCCAATGTTTTTCTTCTGAATAAAGAACCAAATTGCTGAACAAATTCCTATAATGCAACTGGTAGCAGGTTTTTGCCAGATTTCATAGAGAAGGGGCTTTCCCATTCTCTTTTGTGAATAGAAAAGTGTAGAAAATGACTGCTAAACGGGTTGACGTCGTCTTATAGACTTTAATATGCTGCCTTGAAACTAGAAAAAAAAAACAGCTTAGAAAGATAAAGAATCAGCATCGTTAGGGATGCAAGATTGAAAATGATGTTGCTACAATCATTAAGAAAAAAGTTAAGCTACCCAACTCATAGTTCAAAAAAAAAATGCATTGAGAGAAAATGATAGAGGAAGAGAGACTGAGAAAAATGGAAGAGAAAAAAATATACTTAATAACTTTTTGAGTGCCTATTGTACTCATGACAATTCATCGAAGAATTTTCTTTTGATAGACAATCATAAAGTATAATAAGTTTCGCTAGGATGATGCTTCTAAGATTACACATTGCCTTCATGACTGAACAGTAAGAAATCCTTGGCACATACAGAAGTTTTGGGTCCGTGCAAAGACCCACCCAACAAAACCTTGCAATATTATCAAAGTGCTCAGAGCATGAAAACCAATCCCCAGAGCAGCAGGCGCAATCCAGATACATCAAATCCAAATCAATACCCAAAAAACCATACATTCCAAATCCACCGCAAGACCCAGTACCCTAAATTAGTACTCCGCACATCTTAAGAGAATAGTAGGACTATGATTCAAAGTAGATATAAAAACAGCAAACTAATCAATAGAAAACTGCAGGAATCCAAAAACATTGGCTGATTTGATATTATTTCTGCAATATGAAAGCAAGATACAAGTGATCTACAATTATAGAGGTAGATCGGCTCTCCCAAAAAAACTAGACGCCACTGCGAAGCCCTAATAAAATACAAAACTCTGTAATAGCCCCTCTAAACCCTAAACAAACTCCCCCCTTAAATAGCCCTAGGACATCATAACACAAATAGAACATTCATAATCAGCATAAATATATTTTTGGAAATCATCCTAAATAACATAAACATAATTTAGGAAATATTCCTAATAAAAACCTCCCTAATTAAATCCTTCATAACAAACAATATTTATATTTAAAACTTTTCTAATTCCCTCCCAATCAAATCAGTCATCTTCCCCTAATTAAAAATTCTTAATTTCCACCCAATCTTGGTCTTCTATGGTAAATAATTACTCCTCTTTGATCTTCTTGCATGTTGCCAACCTAGGGGGGCCCACTAGCTTAGCTGGTCTATCAATACTCCCCTCTAAAAGAGTCACTTCGTCCTCAAGGTGGAATGAATTGAAGCACTTGACTAATAGCACTGGACTTAGTCCAAAGAGCCACCTTGGAAAATTTGCTTGGAAGGGAAGTGACCTTTCCACATCTTTGATATGCCACCTAAGCATGAAAAGTTTTAGAATTTAATGAAATCTGTGGATGACAATCACCTTCTTTTCAAATTCAAGCCAATCAGCCTCCTCTTGGTTATGTGATATGAATCGCAATTGGTCAATCTGATACGAAGTAGATGTAAAAATAGGAAAACAATCAATATGCAGGAATACCCAAAACAGTGGCTAATTTTGTATTATTTCTACAATATGAAAGCAAGATACAGGTGATCTACTATTAGAGAGGTAGATTGGCTCTCCCAAACAGCCTAGACAACGCTAGGAAGCCCTTAAAGAAAAAAACTATAGAAAAATACAAAACTCTGCAATAGCCCCCCTAAACCCGAGACAAACTCCTCCTTAAATAGCCCTAAAATACCATAACACAAATAGAACACTCCTAATCAACTTAAACATATTTTAGGAAACTACCCTAAATAATTATGATCTTCCTAAATAACATAAGCATACTTTAGGAAACCTTCCTAAGTAAAGCCTCCCTAATTAATCCTTCCTAATACACTAAACATATTTAAAACCTTACTAACTCCCTCCCAATCAAATCAACCCTCGTTCACTAATTAAATATTCTAAATTCCCTCCCAATATTGGTCTTCTATGATAAGTAATTACTCCTCTTTGATCTTCTTGCCGCCCGCCCACCTAGCGAGCCCACTGGCTTAGCCGGCCTATCAGACTAAGGAATATGTTGTCATCCAACAACCTACTAGAACATCAGATGAACGAACTATGTGCATATGAAAAATCCCTAGATGCATACAGGATTTTTACTAGAAACAATAACAGCTTGATCCGACAACCTCCTAGCACTTTGGATGGATTTGCTTCATGGATATCATAAGCCGAAATGAAGTTTTCAAATCCTACTGTTAATCTTGAGTACAAGGTTGTTGTAAATGGGGGTGGTAAAGCTGTGATCCGACAACCTCCTAGCACTTTGGATGGCTGAACTATGCGCGTACCAAAAATTCCTAGAAGAATGAAAGATTTTTACTTGAAACAATAACAGCTGGATGGAACAAGACTGCACCAAAAATCTAGCATAGGACCTACTGAATTAGTAGGGAGTCAGCGAGAGGTATGGTGGCAAGTTATTTGTTTGTTAGTTAGTTGACAATTTTCAGTTCTGTATTAGGAAAGGTTGTATTGAATCAAAATTATAAAAGTGATGGGAAACTATAGTAAAAGGAGTTTGCCAATTTCCCTATTTTTCCCCCTCCCGTTCTTCCTTTTCATCCACTTCTCCGTTCTGTGTTTATTTGATCTGTATTCTGGAGCATTAAGCAACTCGAGTTGCTCGGATAGAAGTCGGGGCACATCCGAATAATAGAAGAAGAAAAAAGATAACAATTAGGTCTAAAATTCTCACAAATGCATATTATTATCCTACCACAACATAGCTGAATGATAGCACAAGAACAAAAAATATACAAGGGGCGAAGAATAAAGCAAAAATAGGAAGTTTTCCTTCTTAGATTTGAACGATGCAACAAATGGAACGAGAATGAATCTAGGGTTTGCATTGCAGTGAGAAATCTCAGCTAACCATGGAGAAGACATTTATTTCGAGGGGAAGCGGTGGAGAATGGTAGTGCTTGCTGACCAAGATCTCTGGATCCACTTGACCGCGGACGACTGAACAGCAACCGTGCACCTTGCCCACTTCCTCCCGCTGCGCCGCAGGTTGCCTTCGCTGTCCTTTTTCTTTTTTTGCTGTAATTTGTAAGGATATATTTCGTACTTCGGATATCTCGAGGAAAAAATTGTGGTTTCGCACTTTCGCTGGCCCAAGTTGATGTTTTTAGCGTTAAATCATCGAATGGATGTTTTTAGGGTTAAAAAGAATTCAATCTGATTTAAAAAATTTAGGTTTGAGTTGATCTATTTTTTTAAATTGGGTAATATATTCTGATTTATTTATTTAATAGGTTAAATTCGAATTGATTCATCAACCTGATTTTGCATCTAAAAAAAGACTCATTTAATATTTTTATTAAATTATTTTCTTTGTTATATTTTTAATCAAATAATTTTAAACATATGATTAAAAAGGTACTAAAAATATGTTTTTAATTAAAATAGGTTATCTGGTTGAGTTTGGATTACTAGTAGGTTGGAGTCTGAACCATATCTTTGACCCATTTATTAGACTATATATATATCAATTTATATGGCCCCATACTAGTGAAAGTGGAGAAATTTCTTTTATTTATATTCATTGAGAAATATACTCAAAATTTTATTTTAGACTAAAATGCCCTCACTTCTTATATCCTCACTATTGGTAGAAAGATGTTTTGTCCTTTTTATTCTTTGACTTTCTTCATTAGTGTCATCGGGAGTTCTATCATTTATCATCTTGATTTCATTACTCAAGAGATCATATGATCGTGCTGGATTTTAGTATTTTTTTTTAGACATGGGCACTATTTTTTTCAAGTTTTCTAACGCATTTCATATTTTAGATTATTTTGATGGATATATAATTCAAATATTAATATAAATATCAAAGATTGTCTTCAAGACATTGTTAGAGCATGAGCTTAAATCTTTCAAACAAGCATGTTTAACATGTTTTAACACATTTTCTAATCTTTTTGAATCAAGAATGGTCATATCTAAATGTTGTTGAACCATGTATGAAACTTGATAGTACATAATCTAACATTACTCGAACACATAATCTAACATATTTGATTCATTTTCAAACCTTATTTATAACATAATTGAACATTATTTGAATATAATTGAACATTTATTTACTTCAAACCTTGAACGATCGGTATGAGTCAAACATCATTAAAATAAGCATTTGATTTATGTTCAAACTTTCTTTGGATCATGTTTGAAGCATATTCCAATGCACTTTGACTAAAATATGAACTTTGATATAGCATTATTCAAATATATTTCATTCACTTGTTCTTTCAACAATGTCATTATATGCTGACCAATTAATTTCTAAAGCTAAGCCTAAAATCTACTTTTTTGTATTGTATATAGTTGAATGAAATGAAGACAGGCAAATGCATTAGGTATTTACTACGAGAATGAGCAAAATGTTGGTGGAACACAGAAGTATTTTTCCTTAAACGTCTCATAAATCCTATATGTAAAGTTATAGAAATTGATCAAAGCTAATTTAATATAAAACGAAAGGTAATGTATGACTTTGATAGAGCACATTCAATTTTTTCATTCCTCCAATTAAGTTACTAATATATATCGAAATTGCTTTTTCTTGAACAAGATATTCATATCTATTCAACACTAATCTCTTCTATGTATTTCTTGCTCCCAAGAATATTTCAACAAAAATATTTATAAAGATAAGGTTGATTTTATATCAGTTAGTTCAACATCATCCACTGATACATACAATCAGTGAAAAATAATGGCTCCATGTATACTACGATACTAAAGCGTCCATTGGAGAGGACAACCCCAATTTATGACATACCCAAAAGTAGTAAATAAGTATGATCTTCTAATTTTTTTGTTCTTTGCGGTTAAGAGCAATAATTCAATATATGGAAACAAATGGTTATCTTCCATATTGGAAGATTCAGTGCTTGAAAGCAAATCCAATATAGTGGTTTTTGACATAATGGTTTTATGTTCAAATTTGTTCTCAGTTGATTTTGTGGTTGACCAATAATTTGATAAATATAAAGAGTTAAAGTGGGTGGTAAATTTATATGCAATGAAAAATAACACCTAATTCAAGGTGAAGAAATTAAGTAGAGATGTGTGGTATATCCATTGTACTTCGAAAGCATGCTTAAGGAGCCCTTGCGAGGTAACAAGACTGTTTGAGATTATAGGCCAAGAATTAGAGCACACTTGCACTTTGGATGTTAGAATGAAAACCACTAATAAGTTTAACCATGGCTCATTAGAAACATAATCAAGGAAAAGCTTATGGGATCCAATTTTAATTTGAAGCCAAAAAACTATCATATCGAATTTAATATGACATCGATGTCTTATGAGAAGACTTGGTGGTTTCATGAGCAAGTTATCACATATGTAAGAGTATCACTTGCGATGCTACATAGAAAAACTCTAGGGTCATTAGTTGATATGCAACTTAATAAGGATCTTCCAAGTATGTATACTTCGCTTTGGGTATTTTAATTCAAGGCTTCAAGACTGCATGTTGTCTAGTGTTAAGTGCAAATAAAAATATTCATGAATACATAGTTTTGAAGCACTTTATTCATAATGATTTCTCAAGATGCTAATACTCAAATTTATCCTATAGTATTTGCAATAAAAAACTCAAAATATAATAAGTCTTGGTTATTTTTTATGACCAACTAAAAGATATAATAGGCATAGTGAAAAACTTAAAATTCAGTTATGATAAACATAATAGCATCACGAATACTTTATCTTTCTTTTTTAAGACACATCATAGAGCTTGCACTCTATGGCAATGAGTAAATACTAAAGTTTAAAACCATCTGTTAAGAAATATCACTTGTCTTCAAGGCTTATATAAGAGTTGAGTTACATAACACTTTGACAAAATTTATGTCAATAGCTTAACAATAGTATTTATGTTGACAAAAAAGTTTGATATAAGCAGTGGACTCACATTTTCTTCACTGAAAATTGATATAACTTGACAACAATCAATATATCAAAGAGTTGCAATAATGTCACCAAGTTTGTACACTCCTATCTAGTGATAATCTTATTCGATTTTTTTTAGACACAATACAAAATTGGTTCTTTAATAGATACAATATTGCATTGAATACAAAAATTATTTTAGCAAAAAAAATTAAAGACACGTTATGGTAGCTCCTAATTAAGGTTTAAAGCCTAATTATTTAGCATGTTATTCAATTTGAATTGTAAGTCCAAGATTATTTATGGAAGTGGATAAATACATGTAGAAAATTTCATATTATGAGTTTTCTTGTGTGAACATGCATTGGCTAAAACTCAAACCTAGGGTGTTAGTTGCTATAGCTTATGCTTAATATTTTATATATAGGAAGGTGGTTAGCTTTTTATTTTAAAAATATATGTCCAGTTAGAAAATGAGGACACACAGGAGCTTTTAGATGAAATAAGGGTCACCATGATATTGGCTACCCCCATTAGTGATGTTGAAGCGAGTTCAATCAAAGAAAAATAAAAGAAGCCTTCAAAGGGAGGGAAAGATATGGTGCAATGTAGGTGCATGTAATGTAGAGTTATAGTTTATAATCAAGTTACTTGTAAGACGAAGTTCCAACTACCGTTTTCATGATAATTTATACTTAGCTCTTTTAGTTATTATAAGAACATTTCTTGTCTTTTATTTTACTCTCTTACATGATATTTCATTTTCATGTGTTATAGCTTTTTGTCATAAAATGTTGTGTCATGCACTACAATAAAATTTATGATTTTTTAGTGGATCTGAGGTGGAAGGAATCTCCAATTGAAAAACAAGTAGATTTTCAATCAAAAAATGTGTATACCTTTCTAGCAAAATTTTCAGTGGATAGGTTGCCAAAAAATTTGGCAGATCATGCTCGCTAGAGAAATATTGACAGATTAACTTAAAGCTGTTGAAACTTTTTACGTCATTTTTACTAGAAATTTTTGAAAAAATTTGACAGATCATGCTCGCTAGAAAATCTATCAGAAAGGCCCCTTTTCACCCCCAACCCCTCTCCCTCCTATTTCATGCCAAAATTAAATCTCGGCATCCACTGTCACCTTCTCGATCTCACTTATGCTTATGGTGGTTTAAAGTCACTTCTTGACTACTTTCTTTCATTTCTTCAAAGATCTATAATAGCATTGAATATAATATGTCAATTTAATACGTTTAAACATATATAGTAGAGTAATTATCATAAAATATTAATATATATCAAAATTTTAAGAGCAGTCATATTAGAAGTGAGCTAACACATCGAAAATCTTCGATCAAAATTCTTACAAAGATTTTAGAATTTATTATTTGTATCGTAGATGACCACAAACTTCTACGTGTTTTAGAGCAATACTTATGAGTATTTTCAAATCTCTTTATTAATAAATTGAGATTAATATATAATATAATAACAATAATATGATTAAAAAAATAGATAGGACGCTTTGTAATTTTAATTATCTAATATAAAGGTAAATCTCATTGAGCTAACTTTTTATCACTAATTATTTCTTACAGGTAAACTTAAGTTTACATATTTACATAATTTACATTAAAAATTGCAAAACTCAATATAAACCATCAGAAGAAATTCCTTATAAGGATTTCGGGTCGGCGCTGACGCGACCCGAAGCACCCCACTCGGTGCATCCGCCATCTGAGCGCGCTTAAGATCGCCCTTTTTCTTTTAGAAAATTCATCGAACACCCACCCGACGGCGTTCCAGAGGGCCTCTCTTCCTCCGTCCACGATCTCCCTCCACCGCCGCCGCAGCCGCTCTCCTAGGGATTCTCTCGCCGAAAGCGTGTAGCTCCGAAGAAACGCCTGTCGCTGGGCGTAGTAATCGTGGCGGCCGGAGGCCGGGACAAGTGCTAGAAGCGGCCTTGCAGGCGTCGCCAATGGTGTGCTTAGTGCGGGGTCGGGGCGCACTCTTGTCCTCGGCATGGGCGTTGCTCCAGTGGAATGGAGGTCAAGATGTTGAAGATGGGGATTGTTGATTTCATTTATACTAGTGATTTTTAATGGAGTTGTTTTATAAAACCTGAGAAAGTTTAAAAAATACAATAGTGAGAGTTGGTGCCGATGGTTACACCCGCGCCGCTACCACTTGTA